GGTTATGTCGCAAATATATTTTTTTGATAATTGTTTGTAGGGTAGGTAAATAGCTGCTGTGCTGTGTTATAGCAACCAGTATACGTATAGAAAGCTAGTAGGCTTCGACATAGTGTAGTCCCTATTTTTTTAGCTAAATCAGTGCAATTAATGCAATCGAGGTCTTTTGCATTTTTTTATTCGCTGAACTTGCTAGCCAAACATCCGATTGTTCAATTTTGTGTAAGTTTTCAAGTAAAATTATCAGGACATCAGTATCGGAAGATTTATGAGAATCTTTGATCCCGGTAGATGCGTGAAAAATGATCCTGGTATCTTCATGATCACACATAAATTCAATTTCTTCATTTTTTATTACTCGATTTTGCTTCGCTTGATAAGAGTAACAACAGTTTTAGTAATTAATTTTTTTTGTTTTTTTTATGCCTCTATGTTGGGTCCTGTTCTGTCACACGGACTTCGGACTTCGGACTCTCTACTTGCTCTCTCGCACATATTTAATTGCTCCGATATTAAAATTTTAAAACAGGGCAATAATATTCCATAAACGGTTATTTGCAGGCAAGCCTATACGATTATTTTCGTAATTAAATTATATTTCGTCTGATACCAATTTTTATTGGTTAACATATAAATACTTATAAACAAAATAGGTAACTAGATAACAGATTAGTCAATATAGGTAACTTTCATACCTGCTTGCCAGGTAGCCATGAAGAAAAATATGTAGGCAAGCCTACCAAGGCATATTTTCCATATTAAAAACTATATGTTTAAACTAAATTCGTTCGGTTATCAAAGGAGAGAAGGCTGAAGGTTATGAAAAAAAATATATTAATATTAATTTAATTTCAAAAGGCAAGCTATCGTAGGCGTACTTACTTGTACGGCGGTTGCACTCCCACTCCATCAAAGTACACTTCACAAACATTCGAGGCCGGCACTGTTATCTCAATGCAGTCCATTACCACCTTGTGACTGACAAGCCGCACTTATTCTTCTTGACTGAGACGCAGATCAGATGTCCTCTAAATGCGGCGTACCTTGGCTACCCTGGGTACACATTAGAGCATAATTTACACCAGCGCGCCGGAGTCTGTGTTTACGTCCGACATTTGCTGTAAGCGTCTCCGACGCCTTGAAGTCCCCACTTTCTCTACGATCTGGGTATTGATAGACACAGGCATGGATAAAATTATTTATTCTTGTGTCTACCGATCGCTCAGCATTGCCAGGAGACAACTAGGCTGTTTGAACACCTCAGTGAAGCCTCTGATGTGGCTTTAAATCGGTACCCTAATGCACAGTTGGTTTTTCTGGGAGACTTTAATGCCTGTCATCAGAACTGGCTGTTCCCATACCAGAAGACCGACCACGCTGGGAAAGAGGCGTGGAATTTTGCCTTGTCGCTGGGGCTATCCCAGCTGGTACAACAAGCGACTAGGGTACCTACCATATGTGGATGGGCACACAGCCAACTGCCTCGACCTTCTGCCGACAACCGATCCAGACAGGTACTATGTTCAGGTTACCTCACCCTTGGGAACTTCTGACTACTGTCTGGTGAAATCTGTGTCGTTATATTCCCCACCTAACTACGATTTCCACGGTGTGCGACGAGTGTGGCGATACAAGTCAGCTGATTGGGATGAGATGCGGCATTTCTTTGCATCTTATCCTTGGCGGCAGGTCTTCTTCTCCTCTGAAGATCCGTTGAGCTGCGCGGATACCACAACCAATGTGATACGTCAAGCGATGGAGTATTTCATTCCCTTTGCTGACGTGTCCCTTGGTGGTAAAGCTCGCTCATGGTTTAACGCCGAGTGCGCTCGTGCTGAAAAGCATAAGCATATGGGGTACTTATCCTGGGTCGATGCTCGAGACCGACAAGCTCCGGATGTTAGCATTAAGAGGAGAGCCTTTAACCAAGCCGCCAAGTCTTGCAAAAAGTCCTTACGCCACGCCAGTTTTCTCTAACACCTAAATCAGATATAGGAGTTGGACGAACTGTGTCTTCCGTTTCCCGCTTCCTACCCAAAATATCACCACAAATTCCAATATATCTAAACAAAGAAATATTTTTTTTATTTTTAATTACAGTTTTTTTACAAGATAGGGTTACAAACAAGCACACAGTCCACCAAATGCTAAGTGGTTGCTGTGAGCCATAGACATCTATAATCTATCCTCAATAAAGGATCAAAATGCAGATGCGTTGTCACCCATGAGGACTAACACGGAATTCCTCTTTTCTAGTAAAAAGGGTCTCCAGTTGTGTACACTCATCATACGAAATACAGCAGTCTTAAGCTGGTATTTTACGCTGGTATTCTGTGAGAGCGTGAAGCTTCCCCGGTCGAGCCGACCCATTTGTGCTACAACTATACTACTAATACTTATAGTTGCAGCATGGCTCTACCACGTAAAAAACAGTTAAGTATGCTTATAAATTTAACTTCTTTTTAAACGTATCTGCAATTTGAAAATATGTTATTACAAATGACTACTTTAAGATATTTACGTAAATGTTGTTTAAATACCAATATTTCTAATGAATAACATACAATTTAAAATTTAAAATTTTGTACAGCCGACTTCAATATAAGTTATTAAGAATAACTCTAAAGCTATTGGTCTGACCTTGATCAAATTCATATGAGACTACACGAGAAGTATCAGCTTTTAAATAAAAAAAGAATTATCGAAATCGGTTCACCCAATAAAAAGTTATGAGGTAACACACATAAAAAAACATACAGTCGAATTGAGTACCGTCTCCTTTTTGGAAATCGGCAGATAAAGTCGATATAAATTAATCAGTTTTAGTTATCTTACAGCCGGCGGTTTACATTCTTCAACGTTAACCTTACAGTAAACTACTGAAGCAACAACAAGATTTTTACTTATAAGTCCTGTAAATTAGTGCATACCCTTAGAGCAGGGGTTCCCTAAGTTATTTATGACGAGCCCCCTTTGTACCAAAAAAAATTTCCTCACCCCCTTGCTCAGATAATTTTAGATTACTATCAGGTTAGAGAAAAATAGTTCTGTTCAATATCATCAAATTTTTAATGCTTAAAAGTTACAGAATATAATACAAAAAACTACTTAATTATATAATACTACCTCTTATTTATTCGAATGTGATGGATGAGCTTGCATGGTTTTAACGAGGTTTCCGATTACGACTAAGTTTATTTCTGCACTTGGTTTTAGGGTTCCGTACCCAAAGGGTAATCAAGAGGACCCTATTACTAAGCATCCGCTGTCCGTCCGTCCGTCCGTCTGTCTGTAAGCGGGGAATTTTTTTTACTTATTATAAGCCAGTGCTTGACCACAATCCCACGTGGTGGTAAGTGGTGATGCAGCCTTAGATGGTAAATCGCACTGTCTTAGCGTAACAAAAGCCTATTCACTCTTGCCTTGAAGACGCCCAGATTGTATTCGGACGGAAAGATAGATGCCGGCAAATTATTCTTACAAAAGCGAACAAACCGTTTGGTTCTAATGCGTGGAATATCGAGAACAAAGGGGTGAAGACCCGCCGACCCCCTGGTTGTCCGATGGTGGAAAGGAGAGGGAGGAATTAAAGCGTGTAATTCCAGCGCACACTCACCGAAATGCATCCTATAGAATAGCGAGAGACTGGCTAATCTGCGCCTGAGCTCAAGGCTGACAAGATTGGTTTCAACCAAATCAAGGTCACCAATGAGCCTCTTAGCACGTCTCTTCACTGAGTCCAACACTGCTAGGTGGCATTTTGCAGCACCAGCCCATATGTGACAGCAGTACTCCATGCACGACCGGACTTGCGCTTTATATAAGATAAGAAGCTGCCCCGGCGTGAAGTACCGCCGCACCCTTGCAAGGACACCAAGTTTCCTTGCGGCTGCTTTGGCTCTGGACTCAATAAGCCGTCCATAGTTTAGGTTCGGAGAAAATTCAATCCCTAACAACTGAAGGCGGTCAGTGTACTCCAAGGATACATTCCGGAAAGTAGGAGCCAAGGACCTAGGAAACAGTAAGTTATTTCGAATTCTTTAAACAAAACGGTACAAATAAAACATGGTTTGCATACACACTCCTTTATTGTAATGACTTAGGTGTTTCACGCTTGTTTTAATTATCTGTTACAAAGTGATATTTTACACTAACGACCTTTTAACAGTCAGAATTATATTCTTTTCAAAATAAACTTAATATTCAGGATTTGTTTTATATTTCAGGGTACTAAAAACACTAACCTAACTTTGGTTGAAATTTATTATTTTAACCAAGTGGATCTCATAAATTCATATGTATTATGTTTAATATATTACTTAAAGTAACATTTTTAAAATAAAATTATTGACGCAATTGAATATCACATTCCAATTCTATTCCAGTTTTATATTAAAATATTAATGTAGCGTGTTAAAAATGGACGGTGTATATTAAAATCCTCTTTTTTTTAATAAAGAGAAAATAATGTCTTAATAAAAATTATAGCAAACAAATACTTTATCTCGGACCTAAAATACAGACAGACCACTACGTACCTACATTTGAAGTGATGCTTAAACCAAGCCGAAATCATTATTATAAGAACTCGCATTCACACACACATATGCAATGAAATCATTTGCGACCAAAAAACATGGTTAAAGGTGCATTACGGGTTAATAAAGAAAGAAAGAAGAAAGACGTGTGTCTGGGTGTGCTGTGCGTGTGAGTGCGTAACGAGAAGTTGAGCATAGTTTCGACGTCATGGAAATGTATAGTGTTCTGTCTATCTTTCTTTGTAGATCTGAGCTGAATACTTTTTAAACAAATTATAAAAAATTGATATAATAAAGCATTTTTTTTAAACGAACTCTTTCCTTTACGTTTCTTTTGTTTGTAATTTATCATGACGATTCACAACTTATAAAACACAAAAATACTTGTTATATAAGAGTCCTACAGCTAAAAATTGTCTATTAATAAATAATTTCGAAAAATACAGGAGGAAAAAACGCCCGTCATCGCCCAGCATCAGCCTGTGAACAATAAATATTATATTATTAAAGGTGAGAAACAATTAATGTATCAGTAATCCTTACTACTATTTTGTGATTAAGTAAAAAAAAAAAACTGTGTTACGTTAATTTTGTACAAATATATTTTTATGACCTTGGGCCTACAACAGCAACGACCGAAACTTCTTTATTATGGTCAGAGTCCTAGTACTAAAGTTAAATAGCCTCCTCTCACTTCTGACCTTCTAAGAGTGTTTTAGGGCATAGAAGTGGCCACCACAGAGTACTTCTGTGTCCGCCGCGCTGCCTTGATGCGTTTTGTCGGACTTCACATGTCTTTGATATATTTTTTATTTCTCAGACATGCAGATTTCCTTATGATATTTTCCTTCACTGCTGAGCACATGGTAAATCAGACCTTAAAATTGCAATTAACTATTTCATTGGTGCCAGCGGGGATCGAGCCCGATTTGCTCGCGTACTGTGAAATTTACAGCGAGCGCTAAGTCCCCGAGCTATCACGACTTCCCAGTCCTAGACGTAGTATAATAGTTATCATTTGGTTAAAGTATTGTGTTTTGCGGACAGGGAAGTTATTATTAAATTGTAATGTTAAATCAGTAGATGAAATTTATTATGGCTGTTCAATTTCTTTTTAAAAAATATGTTTTATTTTGTGCTTTTAGTTAGAAAGTTTGATATTCGCAATTTATCGCATTTAGCATCTGAAACGTATTTTTAGATTAAATGATACAAAAAACATCGTGCATATTATAGTCGTGCGTATAGTATATTTAGTGTATTAATAAATAAAATAAAATACAGTTTTGAAAAAAGATCAAAATTTTGCTTTTATTAGAGGAAGCAGGAGGAATGGTGCTCGTCGGGCAATATCGTTCACTCAATTATCTTGATAAATACGGTGCGGTGCACAGATAAACCTCACGTGGTCTGAAGTGACATATGGTATCGTTATTCCACATGTAAACTATGGTCTCATGCCATGGGCTCTGGATGGGATTCTCCAGAAGGATATATCAGGGATTTTGGTACCTAATATTATAGTCTGTTGATTAGTCATAGTGATTACTTCTAATAAGGAAGAATTATGGTTAATTACGATTGGTAGCCTTTACTTTAGTTGAATTAAGAAGTGTGAATATTGAAAATCCATCTTACTTTTTATATTGAAACAAAAATAAAAAGTGACCTATGAGCTATGAGTATCATTACCTCGAAGCCTGAGCGGTATTATTCATTGTCAGGGGCAATGGCGCACAAACATGTTTTTTTTGTAAGGTTTCCTGCTGATTAAATGTAAAAGGTAAATTCTTTAGTGTTAGAATGCGAATTACCATTTAGTTGAACCTTTATTATTTTTATTTTATTTTTAATACAACTCAATTAAAAAAGAGCGTTTTTCTCTTAAGTGAACGGCATTCCAACTGCCGCAAAATTTGCCCTCCTCTAGATTTTATTTATTTTATATAGTAAACATGTTTATTGATATTATTGATATGATACCTTCACCCTATTGTTAGTATGTAGCATAAAAATGTAAGCTTGAGAAATTTAAATAATATTTTATTTGAAAATTCGAATTGTGACGATTTGTTTCGAAAGTAAGGGTGCAGTGTTATTTCGTTATCTTATAAGTTTCTTACAGTTATATTTGTATGTACTTGTTACATCATAGGCGTATTAAGAAGAAGCTAGAAGCATAGCCAGCACGAACTGATCAATGTTTTAGTTTCGAGACTTTAGGTATTCTGACTGACGGTGGCAGCGGTAAAAGATTATTTCCGTATCTAGCGTGAAAATTTTTATCTAATGACGCTTCATTCACGCTTACTTTCTTATTTACAAACATTTTGATAGTTTTGTCCTGAAAATGATTGCATATTAGGTTTGGAATTGATGAACATGAAGCACTGCATGAGCTGCGGAATATAATAACTCTTATATTTATAGGTATTTACTTACCAAGGCTTCAGTCTTCTTACGTAAATTGGCTCTAGAAAGTGTAAGAGCTAATTCCGATTGCAGTCTACTAGATATAGGTTCATCGTCAGGAATTAAATGACCATCGACTTTATCTCCATTAAGAAAATCTAACTTTAATGGTTCCCTCCTGCCGACATTATTAACGTATTCCCCTATAGTAACTGATACGGGTCGAGCAATTTTTTTCATAGTTGCCGTTCCATTTGGCGCTTTAATAAAATAGTTAGATGGTGGTTTAGGTTGAACATTTAGAGGATTTTTTAATTTGTAGGATTCTAGTGACTCTATTTCTGCATTTTCTTCTTTAATATTTTTTAAATTATACTGTAATTGGGAATCGCTTTTGGTGTTATAATCAGGAGTCGGTGTTCGATTAAGTGTTCCATTCTTTCTTATATTCGAATTTACACGATCTAATTTTTCTGGTTTCGGCTTTTGATTATTAACGCTTTTACTTTCACCGTTTTGATGACCATTCGCTATTGGCATCTGAAACGTAAAACTTATTGAGCAAATCGTTTAGTTTTATTAAAATAATGTTACAATCTCATGACACATTTCACACATTTAATACATATACACAATTTTGAATAAGCTTAAAAACAAAATAAGGACATCACATTTTGGTTGGTGTATACTAAAGCCCATAAATTGGTGATGTCTCATATAGAATTTAGTAAAAGTACCGAAAAAACCGTATTTGAAAATCAAATTTTCGCAGTGTCGTGCATAAATTAAGGTGAATATCATAGTCGTAGTGATTAAATATTATAGTCTTAGGACTAAGGCGTTATATGTACTATAAATATTTAGGCAAGGAAGATTAGAACATCAAGTAGTTTTAATCCGGCTATTCTAGCATAAAGTAAAATAGAAAAAAAAAATTAAGAAATTCGTACATAAATATATTCGGTAAAATGTAATATATTGGAAATAAATAATAATGGCATCTAATTGTTTATAAAAATAGTTTGTTTTACAGTAGTTTTATAAAAGCTTTGGTCAACTGCACATATAAACAAATTATACTTTATTAAAGTGAAACAGAGTAATTAATTTCTCAGATAAATCATTCTGATCAACCTGTAATTTGTTTTCTTGCTAAATAAGGAATACAAAAAAACAAAATGTATTTTAACAACTCACCGGAGGCGGAGGTGGAGGATTGTCCGTTTTTTCCGTGTGTTGTAATTCACCATTAATTTTGAGAGATTCCGTTGCGATGGCCTCGGGTTTTCTTAATTGCAGCGATGATTGACGATCCTTGCAACAAAAGATTTAATGGTATAAATAAAAGAAGATGAAACTATTCTCAGTGGATTTCATGCTGATTTATTTCATAAATAATAAATTTTTGAAGGACATCGGCTTCAAACATTATTCAGACTAAAAAATCTACAGAATTCATTATGTTTAAATAACTAACAAACAGTGCAAAGTACCGAATCCGATACTTTGCTGCTTGGCACCGTGATTTAAAGTAACAAAAAAATATGGTCGTGGTTTATTAAAATTTTATAAGGTTTTTCTTTTACTAGGGTCATACTAAAACTTTTAAAAAAGGACAAAGTTACATTGCATATTATTTTATTTCATTTTTGATAAACTGACAAGGTATTTAGAATTCGGTAGGTGGTAAGAAATACGAAAAGTGTGTGTGTTATGTCAAGATGTACCTACATACAAGTGCTTACAAGAAAATGTTTGATTGACTAATTACGCCATTTGTTATGCTAAACTCAACAATAGCAAAGTGAAGCCTACCATGCCACTGTTTACCACTGGTTAAATGAGTCATCCGTCCTTCAAACGCAAAGTCATCGTTGGTGTTTTACAGGCGCATGGTAGAAGCCTTAGATTATAAAAAGAAGCTAATACGAACATCTACCAAGCTAGGCGATTTGAGCAAACCTTCCCTACAACGGGGGAGAGCGGATGAATCAGAATGAGAAGAAATTTTTATGTTTAACTATCACTTTCTGCCTGTATTTTAATATCATCATTTGTGTAATGTCTTCTAGATCGAATTTCAGTCACGGCGGTTAGTATCAACAGAGCAGAGACAATCATCTATGTAGGACAGAAATTTTTATTGCAACTGTCAAGTGCAATAAAAATTTTCGGTAATGGCGTGTTTCGAAAATTGCGTTGCTTTAAATGGATTGAATGCAAGCGATTGCGCTTTTATTCATACACAGGGTCAGCTTCTCATATCGATTTTCAGTTGTTAAGCATGTGTTAACTTGATATTAAGACTTACTTAATTTACTAACATGACTTATCGTGGATACATTATGGCCGAATATTCGACGCTTCAGACTAAAATCTTCTAAGATTTTTGGTATTATGTATCTGGCAAAATTGTCATTCGTTGCACTTCTAATTAAAATGAAAATTCTTGGAACTAGTTTTACACAAGTGTCCTCGATGAAGTATGTTACAATCTAAACTAAACAACAACAGCAACGTCTTTATTACATGTATATATGTCTTCATTTGAATTACCTGCAAAATAAGGGTCAAAGTCGTGATATTTAATCAGTGATCTTTGACATTGAACTTTGAATACATAAACACTGAGGCAAGAGTGCGAAAATACATAAGAAACAAGTGAATGACGTAATTTTCATGCGCTGCCGCTTAACTAAAGTGTAACCACGTCGCACAATAGGTCTCGTAGTAAGTGGAAAACATAATTTTACACGTGAAAGGCGATTTAATTAGCTTAGGCTCACAAAATTTGTACATTTGGGACGACTGTTTTTATTTGTAGGTACAATATTCTTATTATTAAAACGCTGGCAAGATTTACAAAATATAACTTCAATATGATAATGCAGTGGGACAAAACGATTATTTTCCGTTTAACATTTTGACAAGCGACAGACATCTACAGTATACGAAATATTTTTTTTTTATAGATATAGTCTTATCTAAGTTAGCTATCGATCGTGCGCTATTAAACTGATAACTGGAAGGGAAAATGATTCACACCTAAAAACGAACTTCAATACGGATCAATTTTATCTATTTACAGATATACTTACACTATGTATTTATATACTGAATGACTTAAAAACAAAAAAGGTCTTTAAATTCCAAGTTTTCCTAGAGAAGAAAGTGCTAAAGTACAGGTCGTCTTTTAGTAATTATTTAAAGAAAATACAATAATAAGTTTTTTTTTTAATATAAAAGAAGTTATCAGATTCTAGTCTGAATAGAAATCTATAACTCGCTCCATTTACTTACTTCATAACATTGAATTACGAACAATGGCTTTGACTTATCATTTTTCTTCATTTTAACAGCAATCACAATTCACTAGAGAAACAATTGCACATTCGCACTGGTACGTTACAAAATGCACTATTAACTTAAATTATGGTTGCAACGAGTTAATATTTCGTTGAATAGGATTTATTTGAACAGCGCGTAGTAAACAACCGCTGAATAAAAAGCAAGACCGTGTGAAGGTCATCGATAATTTTTCCAACGCGAGGAAAATCGCAGTACGGTAAATTTATTTTACGATTTGTGAATCGAACAGCTATGGTGAATCAGTTATTATTTCACAGTAACCGTACACCATGAGCGTTAAGAGGTAACTAACAGAGGCGATATACTGACGTGGGTTCGTTTCGGACACCTGAGTTGCCGGCAGGTGCGGGGTGGGCAGACGTTATCAGCGTGGACCGTGGAGTCATTCCATGCGAAATCAGTGCTATAGAGTCTCTGCAGCTGCGGAGTGCTTAGCGCAGGTAAAGTCCGTAGCCTACAAATCGACAATGACGTCGGTAAAAAATATACTCGGTCAGTAAACACACGGCACGACGACCGCAAGCAAGCGTGCGGGTCTCGTGATCAAATGCAAATGTTGTATGCCCTGATAACTTCTGAGAGGGTAATTTATGCGTAGTTTCAATAATATCAAGAACTAGTTCTAAATGGCTATACTGTCAACAAAAATACTCGTATTTTACAATAATATAGATTAAAAGTAAATTTATTTGTATATTTATTTATAGAGGGTCACCAACAGAGTTTACAAAAATGTTTACATATTTATCATTTTCTATAGTAGTAAAATAACTGTAACTTTATTAACAGGCGATCACAACATGAACCAAATACGCTACGTATATAAAGTTATAAAGTATGAAAATAACTACACTAAAGTTAGAGATAATACTTGTTTAAATATCAAAAAGATCATTTAGATCAGTTATTGTGAGTTCTACAGTTTATATTTTTATTCCTAAATAATAGGTATCATTGAATATATCAAGACCATCGATATATATGTACTACGCACTAGATTTCGCATTCCGAACACTGACTATGTTCAACTGAACTGTACTGCAATCCATACACCAAATTAAATATTGCGTATATTGAAGATTTCTGAATTCCATAAGATAATTATTATTACATTTTATTTAGAAATATGTTTGTTTAGATTAAAATAAGAGTATTTTATATTAAATTCTTATATTTATTTTATATTAATATCTTATTTTATATTAAAGTCTTCGCTCATACACGACTCTACTATTTCCCGCGCATGCGCGAAGATATAGAGTAGCGCACAATTTTTGTTTGGAATAGCTTCTCCAGTACGTAGTACATATTATAAGCAATGATCAAGACTATTTAAAAATAAAACTATAAGGCTAATTAAAGTAAAATACTGTTTTTTTAAATTTACAATAAACTGTTTTTAACTTACAATAATTTTTGCTTTTATATTTTGTAATCAACTAGTTATTTCCCACGGATTCACTTGTGTAAAAAATCGAAGAGAAGGGTTCTTTCCACCATTTCAACAAGATTTTAAATCGTATTAAAATATCGTTTGTTGTAAAAACAAACTGCAATCCACAAATAGCAACAAATTAGAATAAGAAAATATACAAAAGTGTTATGTATCTCTGACTTCTAATTTATGTAATTGTAAAAAAATCAAAAAATATTTACTATATGTACAATATTGGTACAAAATATTAACAACTACTTTTTCGCTCCGCGGTGTTACTCGCGTCCACTTTATAGCGCATAGTACGGAGAGCTCAAGCTATCCCATGGAAACTTTCTCATATTTCGGAATGATCATGATCACAGATTTTAAGTTAAACTAAGGCTTTTAATTGAAAAATTTCCTTCATCAAATAACAATATACACAAGGTAACAATATCCTTATAACTAAGTAATGTTCGGATAAAAATTACAAACCTTTTTTGGTTATAACAGGTCGGGGAAAAGTTTCTTGGTACCTATTTTGTTAGTATAAATTTTAAGAAAAATCTCTTCGGTTGTACTGTTTGTATATGGCTGGTTCTAATATCAATACTTATAGGACATTAAGAAAAATAAAAATAAAAAGTAAAAAAACACTTTCCCGCCATTTTACAATGGTTTTTCTGTTCGTCAAAATGAGTGTGTAAGAAATGCGATACATTTTGAGGTTTTATTACAAAAAAGGGAAAAATACGACTCAAGCCGCGAAAAAAATTTGTAACTTTTGTGGATCTAATGCAGTGTCAATAAGAGTAGTACAAAGTTGTTTTTTACCCGGTTTTCAGTGGTGAAGGAAAACGTTGTGGTCAAACCTAAATCTTAAAAATTGCAGTAATGCAGCGCGTTGAACTCTTCCCTTTTCAAAAAAAGTAAATAAATTCAGAAATATAATATAGGTGCCTCTGCCCAGCTGTGGGACTTTTTAAGGCTGATTCCTTTTTAACTGAAGTAAAACATCTTAATAATTGCCCATGTAATACATAGGCGCTATTTAAAATATAAAACTTAAATCCTTGATTTGATTGGTATCCTAGCTCTACACCACGTCTTTACCGTTAATATATTTTAGAACTACTTAATAAATTTTATATTGGTATACGCGTAAAACATATCTTTTTATTGTTTACTGTATTTTAGACATTTTTTTTATAGGATCGGGTGACAAACGAGCACACAGTCCACCTGATGGTAAGTGGTTACTGTGACCCATAGACATCTACATCTATCCTCAATAGAGACTCAAGATGCAGATGCGTTATCAGCCGTGAGGACTAAGATGAAATGACTCTTTTCCAGTAAGAAGGATCTCCACTTCTCTACACTCACCATACCGAAACACAACACCATTAAGCTGTTATTTTACACTGGTATTCTGTGGGAACGTGGTCCTTCCCCGGTCGAGCTTACCCATTCGTGCTACAACTATAAAAATACTATTAAAATAGCTGCAGCATGGTTCTACCACGTG